TGTTTAGATAAAAATAAAATGTTATTAAAAAAAAGCAGGGAACTCGTTTTGTTATATAGTAGAGTTCGAGTTTACTACATCATCCAAAAAGGTCACTGTTATCAATGTGTTGAATTTGAATTCAATTTTAAATCATTGCATACAAAAAACGAATCTGAGCGGAGACAGTCCCTATTTCTAACTTTCTAAGTATATATTATACTTTTCTATTAGTTCTATAGTAGGCAGAACTAATTTTTACTCAAAACACTCCACAATACACAATACACATATTATACAATAACAATAATACTAATAATATTATACCATATATTATTGTTATGAACGTATGAGTCAATGCCGGGATATCGATACTGTATAACAAAGGCAAATGTTTCAAGTCACAACGATTAATATTTTTTTTTAATTACACCAACATTTACTATTTAAAATATTTTTAAAAAAAATTATTATTTTTCCTTTTAATAAACAGTTTAATCAACATTTAAATATCAAATGACCATAAAAAAAATTTAATTTGTAAAAAAAATTATATACCTACCAATATAAGTATTTTCGATATTTTTAAATTGAACAATGAAAAACTTATGAAGAACATTCTCATACTTATTCAACTCAAGAATAAATTGCACATTTTTGAAATTTTTATGAAATTCATAAAGAAAATAATATTCTTAAAGACTTGAGTTAAAGTATATAAATAGTACAAGCCTTAAATAAAGCCAAAATATTTTGAAAGTAATATTATTAATATAATATAATATATAATTATAATTATAATTATATTATGTTGAGAAAAATCTAATATAAGTACTTGGAATCTAAGTAATTCTGCGTTATTTTTTACCTATACGGACTACAGCCATTAATAGCACAATTTTGTTAAAAACTGATATTGCATAAATATCCCTGCCGTTTCTCCATATTTTGTTTCTTACATCAAAATACCAACTAGATCTAATTATCCACCAGAAACTATATTTAGTGTAGAAGATTGAACCTCCAAAAGGTACGCCAGGGATAAAACAAACGTGTACATCGTAAAACCAATTTATTTATAACTCCACTTAAAATCTAAAATTTAGGGTAATCTCCCTAACCATGGGATTAATAAAGTTTAAACTCAAAATAGGGTGTTTATAAATTTTAAAAAATCCTTTATTTTCCATTGAAATTGGCATCAATCATACTTTCCAAACATTTTGAGCAAGGTATTTAATTGTCCAGAAATTAAACATAGTGAATTTAAAAAATATCAAAAATGGAATCAAACAATAAAATTTGAGTTGTTTGTAATAGATCCTAAGCAACGGGCAAAATGTATGGATGTAGTCTATGTTTATTTGTTGTCAATTTTTCTTAGTAGAAGTACTCTAAAAGTTTCAATTGTTCATTGAAAATGTCTAAATATAGTAATGAAAGAACTTTACGAGAGATAACTTGTCAATTAATTTGTACATTTTTATGTATGAAAAAACCTACCTCATTTTGATGGTTTAGTTAGAGCATTAATAAGACTTAAAATAACAATCATTTTTTATATCTAGCATAGTTTATTTTATAAAATTAAATTAATGGACATAATATTATTAAGTCCAATATACAATATAATTTTAGGATAACAAGGTTTTAATATAATCACAATAAAAGATATTAAAAAAATAATCAATAATGAAACATAAATGTCATACAGGGGGAAATAATATGTTACATAATACTGTTTTATAGCAATTGCAGTCATATGTATACATGAAATTTACAAAAATGAAGAGCATTTTTGTGCTAAGTTTAAAATTTGATGTACCTATACATTCATTATATAATTTCAACTAATTTCATAACTTGAACTGTAAACTATCATCATTTAATCAGTGGCATACCTATGTTGAAGGGGCTTAGGGGCTTCAGCAACCCTCCTTCTCCCCCCATTGGCCATGTTATGGAATAAATATTTTATAATAAAAGGCAAAGTAGAGGCCCCATGATATTTCTGTAAACATTTTGTGTATTATCAATTATTACTAGAGGTTATTACGGTTACAGGATATAGTATTAACAACCTTAGTATAAGGTAACAGGTATCAAATTATGATTTACAATGTTTAGCCCCCCCCCCCCTCGCAATTGAAAAGTCCCGGATATGCCACTGCATTTATTTAAAAGATATTTAAAGGTTACCTATTATAGAGAATTTTTTTCAATATTATATTCGTTGTTTACGTTTTTTTTTAGATATTTGCTTTATAATAATTCATAGGTTTGGCATTTGGGTATTCATATCTGACATTATAATACAAGGCTTATCATTTATTATATTCATGAATAAATACCCAACTTTTGAGTTACAAGCAAAGTCCATTCTCTTTAGTGATCAATTAAAGGAAAAATAACTTATTACTTGAATATTTTAATAACTTTTAAGTTTTAACATGTTTGTCTATGTACATCTACCAGTTTTTCAAATGCCACAATTTATGATTGTATTTTTATTTAAAATAGTAATTAAAAATATACTTTTCTATACTACCCAGAGAGTGAAACAAGATAAATTCTCAATATATGTGACTATTACCTTATTTATATGCATTCTTTAATTCAAATTAACACGATTCATACTGAATTAATTTGAATTAGAGTACAAGTATACATGCATACCTATCTAAAACTGTATTAGTATAATACACTTTCACCAAACCAGTTAACAATGCAACGTTTACATGCACAGTTTAAACTTTAAACCGATTTACCCTAATACAAATTAATAATCTCATTCGGTTGTTGTAGTGCAATCCGTTTAGATGCACTTTGTACTCATATAGTTATTTCCAATGCGCATTTCAAATATAAATTAACTTAAATGTTTAAGGTAAACCGAACTGATATTAAACTAAATTAACAGCCGTTTACATGCATTTAACTTCAAGAGTTAACTAATTTGAATTGAGTTAAGTCAGCTTTAGCTGTGCATGTACCGCAGTATATATTTTCATGCCTTGATAGTTGATGTTTTAATTTTTACCAAATTACCAATCTATAAATAGTTTCACTTTAATTTGTTTTATTAAAATATAATACTATGATAGTTAATGGGCAATTGAAAAATGTCTCAAAATATATACTAGCTTAAAAAACAATTAAACTGTCCATAGTCATACAATTTAAAATACTGTTTAATTTCAATTTTAATTTGTTTCAAGAGATTAGTGATGGGAAATTAGAGAGTTGACTGAATAATGAATACTAAATAGTTTACACATACAATTATCACTAAAAAAAGTGTTGAGGTTTCAAATATAGATAAAGGTCCACATACCCTGGAGCAGTGGATGCGTACAGACTCATTTCAGTGTATGGGGACCTTCATTCTTTAAATTAGTAAGTAATTAATAGAATTATTAAAATGTAGAACAAGAATTTAAAGGGATATGTTATGTTTAAAACAAGTTAGTAAATTGATAATCTTCAAAATTCATACAATTACTAGGTAATTTACTCATTATATTTTAATCGAATTTAAACTGTTTTAAATTACACACGACTGATAGTTAGTAATTATATTAATACATAAAAGTTAGGTACATAAAAAAAAATTACTAAAAAATGATCATGATTCATTCGTAATTCAACACTTTGTCTTTACTACATTTGTTAAAACGATTAATTGCCTACTAGAGCTTAGAAATAATCAATGTAACTCAAATTGAGTTTTTTATTTCTTATTATTAATACTGAGTAATTTAATAAAACTTAGGAACTAGCATAGCTTTACTTATATTATATGTGTATATACTATGTGTTGGCCGTTGTTTCAACTATATTTTAAAATTACTAGATTTACTTAAATAGAAGAAAATACCTATGAACAACTTTTATTTTATTATAAATAATAAAAAAACATTTTATTTTAGTTGTAGTTAAGACTAACCTGGTAATATTAGAATCAATTGACCTATAACAATATCAAATTTAAAGGTAAAAATATCATCTACGGCATCCCACAAGATTTAATTGATATTTAAATTTTAAAGGGAGTTTCGAGTATTTTAAAATTGTAGTATTTTACATAGTTACATGTTTGGAGTCCTCTTAAATATTAAAGAAGTATGGATATTTTGACAAATTAAAAAAATAATATTATGTACTGACAAAGAAAAAAAAATTAATATGAATTAACCTGATTGTATTACAAATTTAGGTAATTCAAGGGTCGATGGAAAGAGAGGCTCATCATATCATCTACTACTACTGTGCTTTAAGGTATTTTGTCTAGTTGTTAATTATTTTTATTTATAAGTTTATTAAATTTATGTTTACATAACCCGGCTGTTGAAAACTAAAATGTGTTCTAACAGCCTTTGCTAATAGCCAAGGGTATTTAATGTGAAGAGTGGTGATCGGGGATCATAAATGTGTTGATTTGGCAGTGGTGGTGTTTACAAAACGGTTGAGACATTAATAAGATTTCATTAAAAACAATTTAATTTATTTTTATTTTTCCCAGGATTTTACACCACCTATACACTAGGTCGGTGTAACATCATGGTGACATGTACTAATGTCAAACTGGTTGGAAACTACTGATTTACACTTCAAAAAGTCTCAAAAACAGCTATTGACCAGACTGTCTGGACCACTTTTAGACTATCTACAAAAGTCAAAACCACTGTTCAATCCAACATGACTAAAAGTCACCAACATGTTACACTTTGATATTTTACTAATAAATTATTGGTATGGTAATCCTACTAAAAACCAGTAGTTTGCATATAGTACTAGGTATATTCTTCCTATTTAAAAAAAAACTAATCATACTATATTGTGTAAAAAAAAACATGAGTTTAAACTGTTCTTTTAGAGGGTAATATTTTAAGAATAATTTATTAATATTTAACTGGCAATCGCCTGATATCTCTTAAGAGTAAGGTTTATATGATATAAATGGACTACTAAACACACCAGCATTATTATAATATTATAAATAAATAGGTAGTTATGTTTACCTCGATCAAATTGTTTGCCATTTGGATCTATATCTTTCACATTGAATATATCTTCAAAAACCATTCCTTGAGCCATTTTTCCAGTAAGTTGATTTCGAACTTTTGTATACTATATTCAAACTATAATATGTTACATATATTTACAGTTTACTATTAAGGTGAACAATTGAACGTAAATTCGATTTATAGTCGCAAGACAACACAGACAACCGCAACCGCTTAAATTACAAGAAGTTGTTATCAGGAACGTCAACCTAAATGATAAAAAAAACTGTAAATAAATATTTTACGTATAACCTCAAACTCGAAACATGTACATTTTAAGGTATTTACGTTACTTAATGTTATCCGTGTATGATTGAATGAAGAATGGTGTTATCGTAGTTTTCGTGGCTGTCGGAATCCCGGTACTGATGGTCGGCTGACGGCGGTAGTATGACAATGACACAGAATGAATGAAATATTTAATATATTATTCTGTGTTAATAGTAAATAGAATATTGTCTTTATCGAATAATGGTGTGTCCGTGTGCTAGACGGTAGTGCGGTACTCAAACTCGTTACTTGGCTGTCGGTAACGATTATTTCAGTATTAATTGTACTCAATGTTTGGAATTAAACCAATTCCATCTAGTTGAACTTACGATCCCCTACACTGCATCTCTAACTTAATTATAATAATGGCTATGCTTCCACCTCGGAAAACGAAGACCGTGTCAACTGAAAAAAGTTGTAAACATTCAATGACGCCCCTTCAAACCCTTTTACAAATGGGGTTCCCCCAAAATCGAACGTAAGATTATTTGTTTGATACTATTAAACATCAAAATCATACCTATGTTGTATTTTATATTAATAGAGAAAAAGCATTAGCAGCTACCGGCAATCGAGGAGTCCAATTAGCTGCTGATTGGCTCTTGGCTCATGTCAATGATACTTCTTTAGATTCCAGCACTAGTAGAGAGTATATCATCTATGCCTGTCCAAGTGGGTCATTAATGTATGAGTTAAGGGAATTTTGGAATAAATCAGCTAATAAGTGTGGACGTAATGGAGCTCATAATTTTTTGCCACATATTACTCTAGTATCATTTTTTCAGGTACTTATGAATTATTTTGTACACCTACTCATAACTATTAAACTATGGAACATTTAAATCAAATGTATAAACTAAGTTTAATTATACAAATATTGATTACAGGTACCTGATGAATATGCTAATACACTGGTATCTATACTAAAAAATGTTTTAGATGAGGTCATTAAAGAAATGACAGTCAATGACTTTCATTTAGAAACTTACACTTCTTCAAATTTTATGGGTTTTTTTTTATCTGATCAAGGATCAAGCTTTTTAAAAAAAATTGCTGTACTATATTCAGAAAGAATCACAGATCTTGGTAAATTTAAGCCAATATTTATATTTTATAATACTATATTATATTATTTATAATTTTAATGGGTACAGACAAAAATTCAAAAAGGACTAAACACTAAAAATTTATTAGTGGGAAAGTGGTTGCATCTAACTCTTTGACATCTACATTTATTATAATATAGGTTAATAATTAATATTTGTGGTAGCCAATTGGTAGGTATATTCGATTATGCCGAGTGGAAAAATTTGACAGAGTTATCAAATACCTACTGTCACATTGTCACCATTCTGAATTTTCTCCTAGCTGATTTATAGTAGACTATTAACAGCAATCAATGATTAAAAAAAAAAAAAATGTTACTATCAAATTATATTAAATGGCTTAGTATGTCATATTATCTCATTTTATGGTTAGATATTATATTTTAAACTTAAATAGCTCATGGTTTAATTTGTAATTACTTGTTCCAGTTGGAGTTCAAGTAGATCCTCATTTAAAATCTTTACATTTAACTTTGGCCTATCAATTTGATGTAAGCCAAAAAGAAACTTTGAAATCATTAATCAAGTCCACAATAAATCCATCAACTCCATGTTTATGGGAACTTAAGTTATATTCTAGAGAACCATTAGCTGCTTATAAACAGGTTAGTGCGTTTACATTTAATTTTGTTTCAAAATATTGTATGATTATTATTAGTTAGGCTTTTGTTGCATTTTATGTATAATATATCAAATATTTTAGGTATATAAGGTTGTGTACGCACACGTCCCACAAGCTGCTGATGAACTAGAACTAAGAATAGGTGATTATATATATGTATCTAAAGAAAGCATAGATAACTCTGTTGATGGTTGGGCTGAAGGAATGTCATGGTTAACTGGTAATAAATAGACTTTTAATTTTAAGTTCTAACAGAATTCTGAATTTCTGAAAATGTTTACAGGATGTAATGGTTACTTTCCGCTATGCTACACTGAACGTACTGCTGAATCTGATACATGGACTCTACATTGGTAAAATGTATTATTACTATAAAATTAGTAACCACTAATTTTTAAATGTATTTCTTTTGCAGTTCATTACCCTTAGATGGTAGTTATCATGAATCTAGTGAAGTTAATGATACAAATATGACTGAAGAAAAACTTGTTGAAAAATATGGCATTAGTTTTGTTCCAGCTGATTATACACCACATTCAGAATCTCCCAAAGGTCCCAAATCTCAAAAAATATATATATGTCGACATGGAGAAAGAGTAGATTTCACTTTTGGAACTTGGGTACCCTATAGTTTTGATTCCGATGGAAAATATGTCAGAAAAGATTTAAACATGCCCCCAAATATTCCTCAACGGCGGGATTTTCCAAACTCTTATCAAACCGATACTCCTCTCACTTGTGTTGGTGAATATCAAGCTAAATTAACTGGATGGGGTATGAAAGCTGCTCACTCAACCAAATCAATCCAACATGTTTTTTGTTCACCATCATTACGCTGTGTACAAACTTGCCATAATATCTTAGTTGGTTAGTAGTTTATATATAAATTATTTTTAATATAAAACCAATATGTACATTAATTGAAATGTTAAATTATTCATATAGGTCTTGATATTGATAAACAAGTTTCAATTTGTATTGAACCCGGTATATTTGAATGGCTTGGTTGGTATAATCAGTCTGGGCTACCTGATTGGATGAGTAATGAAGAGTTAATAGCTGCAGGTTTTAATATTAATTCCAAGTATGAAGCTTTAGTATCATTACTATTTCTAACTGAAAATATGTCTGAAACAGTTGAACAGTATTATATTAGATGTGATGAAGTAATACAAAATTTAATCAAAGCAACTGAACCCAAAGGTAAAAAAAAACCAAATTCTCACACTTATGTATAAGATGTTTTGTGTGTACCTCATCATTGATTAGGTCACTGTAATAAATATGTTAATTTTGAATTCAATGATAAATCATTGCGTACAATTAACGGTTCTGAGCGGAGATGGTGGTTTCAGGCTCTATTTTTTAGGATATTTTATTATTTATTTATCTTTGCATTAGTTACACAATGGGTTAAACTAATTTTTTCCCAAAACAAATAGCATACAATTTTATATTATGAATCACTCTAATTTTTGAGTCAATACCAATTTACCATATTACAATGCTATGAGTAGAATTATACATACATGTTTATTATTTATGCATTGTATAAATATTTTTGATTTATTTGTGTTAAGATATTTTTCAGTAATAAAAAAAGTTTTGATTCCTTACGATTGATATTTTTTAAATTACAACTAACTCATTGAAATTGTTTGAGCAAAACATTTTTTTTAAATTTAAATATGCATTTTTGTAAAAATGTAAGCATCTAAATTCTGTAAAAAGATATTATGTATTTTTGATATTTTTCGATTATTTTAAGGACTTATGGGGAATTTCATATTACAGTTTCAATGCTTTTGACCAAAAACCATTTTTGTTATTAAAATTTATTAGAAAAATCAAAAACTTAAAATGTCAGTAAAAAAAGTTTAATATAAATATGAAATAGTATCTTTCTGTATTCATTTTTGAATTAAAACAAAAAAACATTTGTTTTTGTCAAAAACTGGGTTGGCTTAAATATTCCTGGATTTCCATACATTTTTTAAGTTCTTCGATTTGCTAATACTACATTCATTGCACCGCTCAGAATCCACTATATTGTATAATATTCAACATAATATTATGACATTTAAAAAAAAAAATTAATTTTTTCAGGTGGTGATATATTGCTGGTAGGTCATGCTTGTTCGTTGGACTCTTTTTCAAGATCATTACTTCATAAATCTCCACGTACTAAACAAAATTTTGTAAAAATGGTTAAGGACATCCCTTATTGTGGCCTAGTAACTTTAATGACTGATGGAATTAATGATTGGACATTTGTCGATCCTCCAGTTCCACCATTAACTAACTCTATTAATAAAAGATTTAATTGGAAAGTTTTAACCACAGACATTGATGTCTCCCCGAATTAAGCAATCATTGACTGCCATGTGACCGCCAGAGGTCTTCTGTAATTTTCAAATTTTATACTTTTCTGGCTGCCGGCACATATACTCGATCATTACTACTACGCCACATGATTGTCGGTGACCTTAAACGAATATAGTTCTATAACTTCAATAGTCTATAAAAACCTGGAATGACATAAAAAATATGCTTGGCGTGTCAAAAGTAAATATTGTGTGACTGATGCGTTGCATGGCAGTTAAGTTAAACCTAAATCTAGTATGACCTCATAAAAACAAAATAACTTTATTTAAAATTACGATTTTCAAAAAACACACTTATTCTAACTTAAAAAAATAATGACAGTTGATTTGGTAGGTTTACAATAAATATGTTTATTTTTAGTTACATAGGTTGTTAACAAGGCTGGGCATTAATGAGTTAAAAAGTTAAAAAGTAATTCTTAACTAAGTTACATAATGTGTTGATTTTCATTGAAAGCAATTTCTAACTTCCAACCTCTACATTATTTTGAATAATATGCAGTAGCTAATCTGTTAATTAATTTACCTTGTACATTAAGTAAATTTTTCTCAATACAAAACCAATACTTAAATTATTTTGTTTATTTTGTAATTACAATAGTGTATGAATTTTGGTAAATACTTTTGTAAACTGTCAGTGTTGGTAAATACTTTTGTAAACTGTCAGTGTTGGTAAATACTTTTGTAAACTGTCAGTGTTAAATGTACCATTTCTGGATTTCATAGGGATCAAAGTAACATAAATTCAATGTTTTATAAAAAAAACTCAAATTAATTAATTTCAAATATCTCTACAATTACCCTAACGTAAAATCTTGTAGATGCCTCTCATAAAAATCAAATTAAATGATCAATAACTTCTTTATTATTATTATTATTATTTATTATTATTTATTTACATTATACGATGCCCTTATTGTTTTTGTCATAAATTATAAATTCAGTAAAAAGTCTGTATTTATATTTATATTTTATATTTATAATCTATACCAAAGCATAATAATCACACTCTATAAAAATTAAGTTACAATTTTTTATTTAAATAAGAACTTTTACTCATTAAAAATAAAAGAAACTAAACTTTCAAAAAATTAGGTTACTTATCCAGTCTTAGTTGTTAATTGTATGGTTATTTGAAACAATTTACTTGGTATCGTAAAGTTTACATTCCTCGATTTTATATCTTATCCTATGTAAAAAGGATTACCGAATAGACAAAAAACAATATATGATTTTTAAGACTAGTGATTTCTGTGTGATTGGTAATCATTTGCTTCCACCATTAAAATACATAATAATATGGCAATAACAAAATTATGAAATCAACATTTTTAATATTTAAAACTGACCGGCTACTTATTTATTATGTATTGCCTATCATTTTCTTAAGAATTAACTACACTATTTTTTAATTAAGTCTTTCTCAATGTTAAAAATGTATACCATTCTAAAAGTATAATTTAAAACTCGTATCTTAAATTTATTAAATAAAATTATACATATTCTTGAATGAATACCTTTTTGCAAAACATTGGATTTTTTCCCATCTCTACCTAGAGCTTATTTTCAAATGTAAAATATTGGCAATTCATTCAATGAACAATAGTTATGAAAAGTGTTTTAAGAAATTGTATAATTTGAATAATAATATTGTTATCTTAGTGATTTTGTATTAAAATGTATTGAAATTATGGTTATTTGGAAATATTAATTAATTTTATTATTGCAAGAATTATTCTACGCACTTGACCACTAAAATATGTACTTAATGTTCCTAGGTCAAAGTGATAATTTATTCTATTTTTTTTCCCAAGACCTTGTATTTTTTTTTATTATATATATAGTATTTTATATTTTAGTCTTAAGATTTTTTGAATGTTAATGTTTTATTGTTCAACACATGCACCCAACTTTGACACTATTATATTCAGTAGGTTGTCAATTATCCTCTCTAAATTTGGACTGAGAAGGGAACAGATCAGTGCGGATAATCAATAGCCAATAGGTAATGATTAAAAATGTACTGTGAATATTGAAATTAAATATTTTAATGTACCTGTACTTAAAATTAATAATAAATAATTTTAAAAAAAAAACACTTGTTAATTTTGTTATTTAGTAGGTGTCTAGTAAATCTTGACATTAAGTTGGTCCCTATAATGGATATAATATATTTGATTTCAATGATAAATCTAAAATCATTGTATACAAAAATCAATTCTGACTTCTGATTGGAGACAGTCTGTCAACCTCTACTTCTCAGGATATTTTATAATGTATTTACATTACTACTATTAATACAATAGGTTGAAGTATTTTTTTGCCAAATGTAACCACATATATGATATTAATATAATTTTATTTCAGATAGGTAATATTAATAACTGTTGTTAACTTATAAGTCAATACTGGTATACCATTGAACAAAATCTTCACCAGCGGTCGGTCTCCCATACTACCACCTACATAATAAATGAAATTAAAAATCCTATCAGTTGACACTATACTTGATTTAAGCTTTTATTCACACCTTTTCGTTTCTCTACATTCACACATAAATTACATCACATGCAAAAGCTTATAAATTACTGGGATTCATTAGAAGAATTTCAAGTGAATTTAAGTTTGCATGTTTACTTAAATCCCTTTACTGTGTTCTCATCAGACTGATTGTTGAATATGGTTCAGTGGTTTGGGATCCAAATTCCACATTGTGCTGATTTGTGTAGTCCAAAGGAAGTTCTTCAGTTATGCCAGTAATACTTTAAAAATAAATTCCTGCCTACTGCAAGACTGTTCTATTTTTACTAAACTCAAATTATCCATTTTAACTGTCCGTCATTATTCTCATAACATTTTCTTCCTCACAAAACTGATATTGATTTTCCCTCTCTTCTTTCAATTGTTAATTTTAAAGTGCCTTGACGTCTTACTTGCCATACAACTCCTTATCATATTCCTCGCTGCTCAACCATATAATATGTCCAATACTCGAATGAAATAAATAATACACCAATGAAACTATCAAATACGGACTCTTCTTTCTTGCTAATTATAAAAAGGCTATAGTTTGTATTATGCATTTATAAACTTCCTTGTCACACCAGTAATTTACACTCAACCCCCTTGAGTGCACATGTAGTTGCAGTACTTGCTTTGCTGTTGAGCGTCACTGGTTATATGTCCCTACTCTATTTACATGAGCACATGCCCGTTTGGTATACAACAAAATAAACTAAATTAGTAAACAAAGATAATTAATGAATGCCAACAAAATATGTGTAGGTACCAAAGGATACTTACTGATGACGAACAGAAGAAGGTGAACACAGTAGAAATCGTGTTATATTACAAACAACACCGAAAGGTACGGCGCAGAAAAAACGCTCACATGCTTTGAAATAGGTTGTGGACGAACTATTTTGACTTTGGCTTTAGTTTCTGTTCACCCATCTCTTTCAAAATGAACTTGTTTAACTACAGCAACGTTGCTATTAAGTTAAGATATTTCTAAATAGATTTCAATCTAAATAAAAATAAAAATAAATTATGCAATCTTAATGTATTTTTATTTTAGTTTAAATTTATATAACCTGAAAGTTTGAAATCAAAGTTAAGATTTGTTGCCATTTGACACTTGGTGTCGACTCTTGAAGTCTTAATGACTATTTTCCGTTGGCCATTGTCGTCTGTTATGATATAAAATCTGTATACTGTGTAGAAACAACTCGTTTTAAAAAGGCTCTTTTCTAAGCCACTTCCAAATGTCTCAACAAATGATTTCAACCGACAAATAACTAAAAACTGAGGACAGCAACTACCAAGTGAAAGAATTCAGTACCTATGTACTAACCAATCGTGGGTATTCACTATAGTCGCCAGTCCTTATGTTTATATAGGTAGATTATGTTTAGGTATACTTGGCGTTCTGAATCATCAACAAGTACCTACATATTTCAAATTTAAATTCTATTCTTTAAATTATAATCTAGCTGCTTCATTAACTTCATTATTTCAGTCCAATCAGATTTGGGTTTTATTGTGATCAATTATTTGATAGAACCCAGATGACGGACTAAGACCACTGCTGAACCACCTGAACTCGTTTGTCTGTATTTTACTAATTTATTTACTTATTCTATAGTATCAAAGTATTTTACTAATGGCTTTCAGAGTCCAGCTGATGACTGCGTTTTGCTTTGGTACCTACCTACTTAATATTAATTAGGTAACAAAATATTCCTATTAATTTATATTCTATAAGATTTCTTGAAAACCTTCCTGGCTTCTTCAGGTTAAACAAAATTACAAGGAAAAAAAATTAATAACATTTTAGAATTACACAAAATATAGTACATATAACAATAATATTAATAATATAAAATTATTTACCATAGTATTGATTATGAATCATTTGGCAATTTGACATTTTGTCTAATAAAGAAGGTCAACAAGGATTTAAAGTTTATTCTGACTGGCCAACATATCCACAAGTCTACTTACAAATATCATTGATTGGAAATTTGAATATAATTAGAGAATTGAAAGAAGGTAGAGAGTTAATTGCTACTCTTAAAAAAGAAGTATGGAAAAACAAAACATAGCTTGGTCATTTTTTTTTTCAATTTATTATTTAATTGATCTAGTTTAATTTAATTTGGCATAGAAATATCAAAATCAAGTATCAACAGAACTACAGCAATAAGGAAAATGTTGTAATAGTATTTAAAATATTTTTCAAAACTAAATGATGTGTATTAACGAATAATACAGTTATTTAATGCCAAGTTTGATCTATTTATTTATTATTAAATGACATTTAGTTAAAAATATATGTATATTTTTTTAAACCCAATTTTGATATGCATGTTACTCATTAATTGTTTAAGTAGCTTTTCACCTTCACTTTTTCCTGAACAAATATTTACAAAAAATATAATAATACAAATATTTTTATAAAATCTTAAATCAATATGTTCCTTTATTTTGTTCAAAAGGAACAAACATCTAAAAGAAAATCATTATTACACTTCTACATTTAAATTATTTACGAAGTAGGTATATTGGTATATACTATTTATATATTAATTTTAATATAACGGTTATATTATAGTACTTATTAATCGAGACATCGAGTTGTAAAAACCAAGTTAAACAATTATTGGATTTCTATTAGGTATTTAAATAATAATTCTAATGGTAGTTAATTACTATCTAAGTATTGTGTATTATAAGGTGAATTATATTCATCAATGAAGTGTATATTATTAGAATTTAAGAATTTATAGTTTAACACACGTTGATGTCGATCACAGAGGGAATATTTTAGGCACGATTAAAGTATCCAATTTTTTTTTATCTGTTTTAAGTTTTAAAGCCTATTTTTGAATATTCCTCTCAAGTTTTGATACTTCTAGAGTTATATATTAAATTACAGTTTTGTCATTTAAATTAAAAACAATATTGTAAGATGCCGGAAAAAATAATGGACTTGCGACAGTAGGGTAAGTAGCTAAATATACTACAGCTGGTACGCTGAGTTCCGCAAAAATAATTTTATAGATGTAAATACTCCGAATAATATTCTGAAATAAAAAATATATCGGTACTCCAAAGAAGTAAAAACTCGGAAACTGATGACGACAGCCTATTTTTTTATAATATCTATTATCTATAGCAAAAGCCGGTCTCCGTCACTCATCGAAGACGATTCACATTTCTAATAATTTCAATGAACAAAAGAGAAATTCAGTTGTTCTAAACAACATTTACTCATATTTTTCATTCTGCTCAAGTATTTTTTATAAAATATCTCGATCCTTTCAGTTCGGAGTTAGATGAAGAAATCAGTTCATCGTTATGATATACCTATATCTGCACTCTAGATATGGCCCAGCTTTATTTAACCCGATACCAGAAGAGTCGATGTATACCTAGGTAAGTTTGATCACCTACCTATTCATTTGAGGATTTTGTATTTTAGTTTTTAGTAAAACTTAAAAATACAATTTATCGCCACAGACAGTTTGCTACTCAGGTGACGTAGGCACATATTTTTTATTTTCGAGAGCGCAAAGTAAAAAATACACTAGCTCAAACAACGACGGCATATCCAGGTCAAAGAGCAATAACATATTTATACAATTAAATAGGTATAAATTGTGCTGCACAGATTAGTAGTACTAGTCATACTACAATGGTAGTACAGTGTAATAAGTACAG